CCATCCACCCATCCATCCATCCATCCACACACCCAGCATTCACTGGGTGCCTATCGTCTCCTGAAGCTGGACCATTCCAGGCACTTCCATCAAGGACCACACAAACCCAGAAGTAGAGCATTACAGCGATGAGTCTGAGAAGCACAAAAGGGGTGTGCAAAGAGTACGTGTGTGTTGACAGAGCCCTCCGTGGGTGTCAAGGGGAGGGAGGGAAGAGGGGTGCAGAAGCCCTTACCCAGCTGGTGGACTGGCTGTCCTTGTCCTGTGAGGAGAAAGGACAGAGGGGAGACATGCTCAGAGAGAGCAAGACTGGTGTGGCACAAGCGAGTGAGGGAGGGAGGCTCCTGCTAAGGCACAGATAGGACAGGGCCGAGGGCGGAGAGGGAAGACACTGGAAGGTACAGGGAATGAGTCAGGGACATCAGGAGGAGGCGAGGTCCTTGTGGGTGAGCAGAAGGGGGCTGAGCAGGCATTGCAGTTACCTGGGCGCCAGGGCTCCAGTGGCACAGGGCGGCTCCAGGGCCCATCGCCGGCTGCGGTGTAGGCTGCCACAGATACAGTCAGGTTGGGCACGGGCCCATTCCCCCGCAGTTCTAGGGTCACTTCTCGAGTTAGCCTCACATCCATTAGCACCTAGGAGGTCGGAAGCAGAATCAGGGAGAACCTCAGACCCCTAAATTTTAACCCTGCATCCTTGACCTCAGCTCCTCATCTCTTTCTCAAGACCTTTGCCTCCTCTTCCACCCGTCACCCCCTGCCCCTTCCTCTCCATCCTTCATCTCCATTTCACCATCTCCCCACCCCCTGGAACGCTTACCAGGCAGGGACTGCATGTGTCCCATCCCCCACCACGTCCTCTGTCCCTTAGTGCAGCTCACAGGACACTGAGGAACTGAATTATCTTTTTATCTTCACCTTTCTATCCCTTCTCACCTCCCATCCTATCTCTCCTCCTTGGAGTATTGACAGCCCAGTACTACTTTGGTGGAAATCTGGAAAGAGCACCCCTTCCTCAAGATGCTATCCAGCTGTCTACTGTAAAACTATTAAGAGAATGTAAATCTACAGATCGCCGTGGGTTATAAACAGCCATTCCCAACCCTCCTTCGGATTCCCTGAGCTCCCCAGAATATAATCCACTAAGCATGGTGCAACGGTATAGTACCCAACCTACACAGCTGCCCCTCTCTGCCTTGCCATCTTCCTCTCCCCATCTCCCTCCTCTCCCAACCACTCCACACCAACCCAGCCAGCAGCACCCACCTCAGGGGTGTCTTGGCCTCGATAAGCCAGCCGGTACCCTAACAGGGTGCCCTGCAGGGGTGCCCTTGGCTCCTGCCAACGCACGAGGACCTGGCTCCCGTTCCGCATGGCGCTAATGTTCTCAGGGGGGCCCAGGGGCACTAGAGGACAGGGAAGAGGGGAAGCTGGCACCCCCACCTCTTCCTGACCCCACCCGTTCCCAGGAGGTGGGGGCAGGGCAAAGGCACACTCCTGCAGGTCTCAGTGAGCAGAAGCTCAGGGGAGAGATTTGGCAGGGATGGCGGGGCAGTGCGAGCACAGGGGTGTCGGGGAAAGGACTGAAGGGAGGTGAGGCCACGTGGGGTAAAGGAGTGCGAGGATGCTGGAGGCACTGACGCAGGCGAGGTCCAGCAGGGCGGTGGTGACGGCCCTCCCCAGCCCCCTTACCTCCCTCCGGTGTTTCCACAGGAAGCCAGTGTGTCCAGGGCGAGGGGCCCTGGCTGCTGGCACACGACACCCGGATGTGATAAGGGGTGTGAGGATGGAGGCTGCCCAGCCGAAGCTGGTGAGGGGGCACAGATGCTTGGAGGGTGAGGGGCTCCTCCGGGGGGTCTGGCTCTCCCAGCCAGCTGCCCACCCCATCGTCCGACATCACAGCCTAAGGAGAGGAAAGGGCATGAGGAGAGCACGACCCCACAGTCACCCCCAGTGGCCACACGGCTCTCTGTGGTGGTGTCCTAGCTGTGTGTGAGTGTGTGAGTGTGTGTGTGTGTGCGCATGCTGCATGTTAGGACAACATGGATGCCTAGATTTGCAATGCAAGGAAATCATATAGCCGTGTGATGTGCACAGTCAAAAGCCACCTCTAGCCTCGCTCACTCTACCATGGGGACTGAACTTGGGACTTTCACAGTAGCTACATCCCCAGCCTGTTTTTTTTTTTTTTTTTTAACTTATTTTGACAGGGTCTGGCTAAATAGCTAAGTTGTCCAGGCTGGGCTGGAATTGATACTCCTCCTGCTCAGCCTCCCGGAGTGCTGGGATTACAAGTATGTGCCACCATGTGCAGCTCACTTTTTTCCTCTCTTTGAGCCTCAGTTTCCCCATGTGGAAAATGAAGGATAAGATGCTCCAATGCCTTACAGGGCCATTTAAGGGTTAAATGTATGGGCTGGGAGCCAGTTTGGTGGCTCCTGTAATCCCAGGACTCTGGAAGACTGGCAGGAGGATTGTGCGTTTGATCTAAGGCTGGACACTTTAGTAACTTAGCAAGACCCTGTCTCAAAATAAGGAATAAAAAAGGGCTTGGGGTGTAGCTCAGTGTGAAGGCCCTGGGTTTAATTTCCAGTACTACAAAAACAAACAAACCCTCAAAACACTATGCCCCGCCCCCAGGATTGAACTCAGGACCTTGCACTTGCAAAGGCAGACACGGTGCAGCTAAATCTCTGGCCCAAACAATGCCTTTACTGACATCATTCAGAGCCCTTCACAAATCTGAATTATTTGGGGGTGGTGATGGGCATCACACCCAAGGCCTTGCGCATGCAAAGCACACGCTTTACCACTGAGCTGCCCCTCAGACTGAATTCATTTGATTTTCACATCAATGCTGTGCTGCAGTAAGTGCTACCCTAATCTCTGTTACACTGAGGCCCAGGCACATGGAATCCCAAGTCATCAGTTTGTCACCGATGAAGCAGGAACATGACTTCCTGTCTCCAAAGCCTCTGCTCTGCTTGTAGAAAGAACATCAATAGTAGCACCAGTGCCTCTCATCTGTCCAGAGAGGCAGGGGAGGTTAGTGCTGAGGAACATGGGAGCTGGCTCTCCCATTCCTCGGGGCTAGGTCTTAGTTTCCTCACCTTTAAGATGGAATGGCTGTGCATGGTTGGGCACACCTGTAATCCCAGCACTGAGGGAGGCTGAGGCACGAGGATCACCATGAGTTTAAGGACAGCCTGAACTGCATAGTGAGACCCTGTCCCCTCAAAAAAAAAAAAAAAATGGAATGATGAGAGTGGCTTCTTACTCTGCAGGGCTTGTTTAGAAGAGTGTCTGTGCATATTCAGTGTGTCTTTGTCATTATGTGTGCACGGCTGCCTGGCAGCAGGTGTCAAAGTGCACACCCTGCACAGAGACATAGGCTCACATACCCAGTTACTCCCCGAGATGTGACAACAGCTCTACCACGTGGACCCACAAAGCTACCACAACTGTACAACTCACAGCCACACATCTTGGGAGCACTGCTGCCCAGGGACACACCTTCACCTCCAAGATCCCAACCACACTGCTACGCGGTATGTCGGCTCGCACAGTATTGGCTGTGTGGCAAAAGCTGTTTCTTAGCCAGCCATGTCTGTAATCCCGGCACTTCCAGACTCGGAGGCAGGAGGACACAAAGTTCAAGTCCTGCCAGGACAACTGAGTGAGACTTGTCTCACCATTAAAAAAAAATAATAATAAAATAAAGCTCACTCGAAGTCACATAGCCCCCGTGGGGGATGAGGACACCATCACATGAGCCAGGGTGAAGGGGGATGGCGGGTGGGTAGTGGAGGGGTGAGGCTTTCTCCACGCCTGCTCTCTGACCCACAGTGGCAGATGGGAAGAGGAACCTCTCTGCCAGGACAAAGGGGAGATGGGTGCAGACAGTGGGCTCGTGCCCTCTCCCACTTCTCTTTTTCCCTGGGATGGTCCTGGCCCTCCTGCTGGAGCCCTTTGGCCCCAGCCCCCTCGCAGCAGGAAGTGAGATCTGGAGAGGGAAGGGCACACACTTCTGCTTTCCTGGGGATCTTCGATGGATGTGGGTGGGGATCCAGCTGGCTTCTGCCCTGCCATTGGAGGTTTCCCCAATCAGGTCAGCCTCTGGGGTGGAAGCTCAGCTTTACCCTGCCAGCCACGGGGCATGGGACAGGTCCTTTCCCTCCTCGGGGTCTCTCAGTTCCTTACTCGGGAAAGGGCAAGATGAACAGCTCTTGTCTTCTAGGGTGGAAGTGACACGCAGATATGGGCAGGGTAAGTGTGAGAAACAAGTGTCTGGGGCTCAGGAAGCAGCTTTGTGATATGATGATTACCTAGACGTGTGAGGCCCTGGGCTCCACCCCAGCACCACACTAAAACAAAATGAAAGGAAGAAAGACAATTGCAGAAGAGCTGGTTCCAAATGTAGGAGGTCAGGAGCACCACTGGGACAGGTGAGACAGGGCTCGCATCTTACTTCTGCTACTTCCTGCCTGCGACTTTTGGTGAGCTGCTTAATTACTTGGAGGTTTAGTTTCTTCATCTGGAAAATGGGCCTATCCATAGACTGTCCTTCACAGACACACAGGGAATGTGCAGAAGGCCCAGCACACAGTTAACACCCCAGACAAGTTGGTCATTATTGACACATCACAGGCGCTGTCCAACCTCCACCTCCCACTTCCCAATTTCAGAGAACTTCACACTCAACGTGAGTTTTATGTTTACAGGGCTGGGTGATTTATTTTTGTTTGTCTTTGTGTTTTTCTTGCTCCACTGTAGGAGGGACTTCAGGGCAGGGGTTAGGTCCAGCTGGCCTTAGTCAGAAAACATCCCCACTGTCTGGCCTGTGCTGGGCCGTAACGAGGAGTCAGTGTGACAGACAGCTCTGGCCCCACCCTCACATAGGCCACAGGCCAGTGGGGGACACACTCACCCTACACAGTGACTACCCAGAGTAGTCAGGGCAGAGACGCAAAAGTACAGAACTATGGATGCCCAGTGAGGACAGAAATAGCTCCAGACCCTCACAGAAGTCTCCTTGGTTCCAGATGTTATTTTAAGTTTGCTACTTGCACTTACTCATTTAATTCTCAAACAAGCCAATCAGTTAATTGCTATCACCTTGCTCATTTTATAGATAAGAGAACTGAGGCCCACAGAGGCTAAGTCACTTCTCAAGCTACTACAATCAGCAGAGTCAGGAGTTGAACCCAGGACATCTGGCACAAACCTAGGCTCTGTTACCTCTCAACATATCACTGGCCTGGAGGGGCAAGGATAGGTGCTTGCGCTTGTGGGTAGACTGAGGGCTGAGACTGAGCTGACCAAAGTCAGAGGATCTCACCTGTAAGGTGCAGTGAGTGAGGGGGTAGATGCCACTCAGGCCAGGGGACCAAGCCACCTCCAGTTCCGTGGGCTGGCTGGAAACCAGGTGGAGGTCTCGGGGCCGCTGGGGGAGCACTGCAGACAGAGGAGAGGAGCGTCATCCTGGGGACTTTTGCCCAGAGCTCCTCACCCTACCCTCTGTCTCCCTCTCTGGCCAGTCCTTCAGATGCCCAGCTTCTCCGACCCCTTTTCCCTCACCTGTGATGGCGGCTGTGCGGGATGTGGTGACCCCCTTGGCATTGTGGGCTTCACAGGAGAAAGAAGACGTCTTGTTCAGGCCTAAGGGAGTCATACGAGGGAGGAGCCAGCGTCAGATGGGGGAAGAAGAGACTTTTGGGCCAGGCTGCCCTGCTCCATTGCAGCCAGCATGACAGTGTCCATCCAGCCCGTCTCGGCATAACGAGGAAGTGTGAAGTACAAAGGGGAGGGGCAGTGTGTTAGGAAGAGACTCTGTCCCCAGATATATGCACAGGCCAATGGCTTCAGGTCTACCCTCCTTCCATACACATACAGCACACACACGCACACACTGCTACACCCAGAGACACAGAGAACCATACAGAAACACACGTGCTCATGTTACAGATCAGAGAAACACGCACACTCGCGTATATGTACAGAGATATTCATATTGACTTATACAGACACGCAGAGTCACTCACACCTAAGAGACACACACCTACAGACGGAAACATGTGTTGAGGTAGAATAGTCTGCTCTTCCTCCCAGACCCTCTCCTCCTAACTCGGTTTGTTCCCGTCACACTGGCCTCTTGGTGTTTCCGGAACACACACACTCACACACACGCATGCTCGTACACGCACACACGCAAGCAGCACGTTCCCATCCGTCCTGGGAACTAAGCACTTGTGTTTCTCCTGCCTGGCAGTCTCCCCACAGATGTCCACACAGCTTGCTCTCTCCCTCCGTGGGTGTGATCCTAACTGACACCTCTGTCACGCTGTTCCCCCCATGTAGAATGGGAACCTCCCCTCCCCGTCTGTCCACTGTCCTGCTCAGCTCCCCCAGTGCCCCCCGACCAGTGTCAGCTGGGGGGGCGAGTGTATGCTGTTGACTGAGCGAATGAATTTGTGTGTGTGTGTGTACCTGCATCTTTATGAGCGTTTGAGTGTGTGTGTGAAGTGTGAGCATGTGCAATTCAGCGAGCAAGCCAGTCAATGCATGTGCCTTGAACGACTGTTTTTGGGTGTCCAGGAGTGGATTTTGTGTTCAGGTGTTTGTCTCTGTACTTGTATGTGTGTGTGTGTGTGTGTGTGTGTGCGCCAGTGCATGCGTGCACCTGTGTCACCACCTCCATGAATGCACACCTAAGGGTGCACCCAAGAGACAGAAATGGAAACACACAGAGACACGGCACGCAAGGCTACACAACTTAGCCGACGCACACAACGTGGCTGTGACGGACGTGAGGGCACCCAGTCTTCAGTGGGGCCCGGCGTGTTGTGCCCGTGCCTGCCTTTATGCCCGGTGAGCCTGCGGCCTGTGCGGCCGTAGCAGCTGTGTGTTTGTGCGGTGTGGTATCTGCGTTCCCACCACCTGGCTCGCTTGGGAGGGCGGCCCTCAACCGAAGGCACAAAGTTTCCTTTCCTCCGTCAGCGGCAGCAGAGGAGGGTGACACGGAGAGTCCCGAGGCCGGAAGGGGGAGGGCGGATGCCTGCCTGGCCCGCAGCCCCCGCGGG